CACCATGGAAAACTTTGTTTTCCGACGAACTTCATCACTATCGACTAATTTGAGTTTACGGCGTTCCATTAGGTAATGTTAGTTCATATTCACTTGGTATTGTTTACTTAAAACTTCCCATTGATGTTTAGGATTTCAGTTGACCAGTCTCTTATTGACAATGTGTACATACTGTGCGTATTGCCTCGATATTGTTTTAGATCACAAGCATTCTAAACAAAGATGGATAGTTGCTAGCACTGGACGAATTTAAACTTCATCCCATCGCACAAGCAAGTGACAATCAGGACTCAGTAGCTAAATGGATAACGTGGTAACGTTTGAAGCGAACGGTACTGGGTTCGAGTCCCAGAGTGAACATCAACTCTGAGATATAGGTGCATTAAGATGACGAGTTCCAAATAGCACGAAATCCGCTTCGTTGATTCCACTGCTAACCACTATCCATCTTTGCCTAGAATGTTAGTTTATGTCTAAAATCATATGTCAAATAATATCTGATATCTAACTCTGCAATCATAAGCATAGGAACGATATAATCAGGTACGATTACCTTGTAAACTTATATGTAAATATATAAATTCTAGATTGCTATTTAGTTTCATACCCTCCTACCAAATGTTTAACATTGTTTACATAAATATATGGTAATTATATTTTTCCTTACAAGTAGTATAGTGTGTAGCATGAATTATTACATATTATATTCTCATCTGAATAAATTGGGATAATTTAAAACAATCTAATAAACTATAAATCTAATCAACGATTGTAAATGATTTGATAATGTTTATATTTGTCGGATATGAATGTTGATAAGATTATGGGTGTGTGTATTTAACTAGAACACTAAGTGGTATGATAACAATATTGACTGAAAATTTACTTATTTACTTACTTACTTACCCTTGTTACTCCTAAGTGAGTATAGGCTACCGACCAGTATTGTACAACTCACTCTGTCCTGCGCATTCTTTTCTAGTTCCATCCAATTCCTGTTCATTATTCTTATGTCTTTGATCGTTCTCTTCTACTTTATTTAAAATTGACGATTCCATGTGAGGGACTGTCTCATGATGTAGTTCAGTGATTTCTTTAATGTGTGTCCTATCCACTTCTAGTGCTTCTTCCTGATTTCTTCCTCCGATGACATCTGGTTTGATCTCTCCCACGATAGGTTCTTGCTAATAGTGTCTAGTCAACGGATCCGAAGTATTTTATGTAGACAACTGTGAATAAACACCTGTATCTTTTGTATGATGGCTTTTGTAGTTGTTCAAGTTTCCACCCCATACAGTGGAACTGTTTTGACACTTGTAAGGAAAATTCTGATTTTGATGTTGTTTGACGGAGAGTTGTTTTGAGGTCCAGATGTTCTTCCTTTGTAGATGCTCTTCTTTATCTACTGAATAGGCATAGATTACATAAACATATATACATATCATTATAATTAAGTTTTATCAAATTCTACTGCTTCGGTTTTATGCTTACGATTAGCTCCCAGAATGAGTACAGTAAAGATTATAATCAACTCAATCAACCCAAGACATTTGTTTTAGATAGTCTATTGCATTAATAATAATCTACTTATATTGATGAGCTTAAAGTCAATGAATAAAAATAAAAATAATTCAGAGATGATAATCTTCTATCCAATAAACTCATTTACTTAACACGTATATTCGTATTTAAAGTTGTTTGGTAAATATGATTCTATAAAAGAATATAAAGCGATTATATCATATAAATAGAAGGAGGTATGATAATCAAGAGATTAGATAACAATAGATAAAGGGAAATGATAAAAGGAGAATGGAAACAAATCACAAGAGTACTTCATCAAATCTTGTAAAGTTTTACTAAAGGAACTATTCTTCAAAGTAATCTACAGGGTCAAAAAATGAAGATATGTGTCAGGTAGAAAAAAAAGTCTATCAGTATAGAGGTTGTGAAGATTATTAAGTTTTCAATTGAGATCATGAACCGATTAATGTTAGACCACAATGGATCGTGAGGGAATTCTCGGAGTTCTAGAGAGATGCCGTGAACAGTGGAGCTTATCCGTGTCGGGTAGAGACAGGTATCTACATCAGTACAATGGTCGCGTAATTTCGTGAACTGGTTGAGGTTAGACATTAACACTACTGGATGCTGGCCGGCTTTGTGGTTTAGTAGGTTAAGCATTCGCGCGCGAGATTGAAGGTCCTGGGTCCGAAAATTTTAATGTGGGATATTGGATGCACACTGCCGAGGGCTTCCACAATAGGAAGAAATGGCCGTTCAGTATTTCCAGGTTTTCATGGTGATCTAGTTTCAATTGACTCATAATCTCAACTATTGAAACTACTATAATATCCACTAAAACCCCCTTCTGATATTAATTATTTCTTCATTCATTTTTTTGTTGTTCACAATACTTTCAAATTTTATTTCTATATTTATTTAAAGAAAACAAAAAAAATTGCAATAGAATATCGTGGATTGTTTTTTGTTTCTATTTTCTATATACTACTGACGTAACTGTTTCTATGGTTTGTCTGAATAAGGGTGGTCGGGGATGGTGAGGGTGGTGATTAACAGTAATAAAATTATCTTCATTTACATTAATTTTACTCATTTACATTTTTTCTAAGCGAAATAAACTACTGTTATATCTTTATTTTTCTGGGGTGGAGGATGGTAGGTCTTAGTTTTTTTCTATGAATTGGTTTGTTTTTATAACAAAAAACTATATCACTTTTTAATAAGAAAACGTATCTATGTCAACTTAAAATGAATTTACTCCGCAGTAAAAACAAAACAAAACAATTAAGTGATTAGCATTATGTGAAAATATTTGAAGTTTAATATATTGTACATTGAATTTGACTGATAAGGTTCGAATCTCGCCAGGCGGGATCATAGATGCGCATTGCTTAGGAGTCCTACAATAGGATGAAACGGTCATCCAATGTTTCCAAGCTTTCCATGGTGGTTTAGCTTCAAGTGACTACTCATAATCTCAACTATTAGAAGTACTTTTCACGTATCTGATGGTCATCTGTATCGTCGATGATCAAGGACGATCGGATGCACACGTAAAGGAGAGGATCGGCAATGGAAAAACCGCATTATTACAATTGAACAAACAAAATATGCAACTCAAAACAATTGTCTGTCAACTAATATCATAGTCATAATCTTCAATGTGAACATCAACACAGTCATTTCTACTGTACACAGCTGAAACTTCCAAAACTACCACAATCATCATGGAAACTGTAAAAGTATTCATAAACAGTTGTCTACACGAGATACTCAATACCCGTTGTTGATCGGAAACTATCAACGATAGTCTATTGTTGGAGATAAAATCTCAAGTTCGAGAAGTGGAGGAAATCGGGAAACGACTATGAAGTTGGTGGATAGGATATACATCACGCAAATCACCAAACTACATCATGTGTGAAGCGTTTACTACTTGGAATGATGAAGTTGAACGAAAAATAGGAATATAGAAGAATACACACACTATGTTGAGAATTTGATGTAGAAATGAAAACGTATGAATAGCAACTGAAATCATATGGAAAGGATTGTGAATGACAAAGTTGGTTAGAGAATGCTAATAAACGGCCTACACTCATCTATGAGGTATAAAGGTTGTAAGTAACTACGTAAGTACATATTATTCTATAGTTTTATTATTGAATAACTAATTAAAAACAACAAATATTTCTAATTATATGATTAGTTTATTTTGTTTTATTCATTCAATTGTAAATAAATTTATGATCATAAGTTTAATCAAGTGAAAATAGAAGTTGTTTATACCTAAAAATAACACCGTTTTCTTGTATCCAAGAAAACAAACAAACAAGAAGAGTATCATCCATAGACGATTTGAGAAACAAAAAAAACAAAGGCGGGTTAATCAAAATGAAACAAGAATGTAAATAAATCATATGTAAGTGTGTGTGTTTTTTTTTTTTTTTGAAGATGAGTATTATTGTTTTTCTTGTTCTTTTTTGTTTTTCATTATAGTTACTCCTTTTTTTCTTTCTAACTGAATGAACTAGTTCATTTGATCTTGTTTGTTATTTAGGACTACAGTTGATCAGTCTCATGTTGGCCTATATATACATCCTATACGTGTTGCTTCGATATTGTCGCCTTAGATCACAAGTTTTATAAGCAATGATGGATATTGGTTAGTAGTGGGATTTCATCCTATTTGGAACTTATCAGTTGGATGTAATTTCGTCTCAGAGTTGATGGTCAATTTGAAAGTCGAAACCAATGCCGTTCGCTTCAAACAAAATCGCGTTATACATTTAGTTACTGAGTTTTGATAGTTACCTGCAATTTGCAATGGGGTACAGTTTAAATTTGTCCACTGATAGCCACTATCCATCATTAAATCAATTAAATTTATTTTAGTGAAAATAATCAGATTAGAATAAAAATAAACAAAAATCATTCTACGTTTTAAAGAGTTTTCTTTTCTGCAGTTATTATCATGCATACATTTTAGTTAAATAATCAATGGAAACATCAAATAACTATTTCGTTCTATTTTGGGACTCTTCGGCGGTACCATTCCACAACATTTCAACCCGTGACCGAGAAAGCAAAGGAGCTTTCAGGTTCTATAATAGTAAATTCGTTAGTAATCATTCATAAATTCCTTTTTATCGATCTCTTATTATCGGAATAACAGCAGTTACTTGCGACAGTTCTATAGTTTAGATCATGAGTAAATTGAAGCTAGATCACCATGAAAATCCTGGAACCACTGGACAGCCGTTTCGTCTTAATATGGAACTCTTCAATAGTGCGCATTCATGATCTCGCCCTGCTAGATCCGAACACAAGATCTATCGGTCTCGCAAGCAAACGCCTAACCTATAAACCAATAGGCCATAAATTAGATGTTGATGTCATTTCAAACGTTTCGGTACGTCTCATTAATTGACATTACTATATTTTTCCAACAGAAGAGTTTCATTAGAGCGAAAAATATGTCAACCTCGTTTTACCATGCTTTGTCGACAGCTAGGAAACCAACGAAAGTAAGAAAGGAATAAATAACTGTTATTGGCTACTCACTAATATCGGCGAAAATTCCAAGATGAGCTTAGATTATATTGTGAATTGTGTTACGTGATCCAACAGTTATCACTCACAATGAAACTATATGATCCCGGAATAAGCATTTGGTTAAATCTTTGATGAGGACATATACAAAATCCTAACTTGGAAGAAAAGATTTCAACCATCCTCAGGCTAATGAATCTGTTGTATTGTTACTTTCAACCATGATAACTGTCCCAATATAATTTTTTTTAGAATGGAAAGTAAACTAGATCATACTTCTAAAATGTGGGAATTAAAACAATACCAAATTATAATGAAATATATGCCTCTATTTATCAGTATTCTAAGTCCTTAGAAAAATTAATATCTTAATAATCTTAATAATACAAATACATTCTTCCTCTTTAATGTCTCACATCAACTCGGCGCCCAAATATTGTGAAAAACGTACGCTACTATTTGAAAATCATAAATTATTTGGAGTTTCAAAATCTGAATCACTATTTTCCAGCTCACTAGTATGAAAGCCTACAAGATTTTAGTGTAAATACATCTCAGTCGCGGCCCACATAGCTCAGCGGTAATGTATCTAACTTTGAAGCTGTGTGACGCAGGATCGAATACGTCAGGAAGCATCAGTTCCCTCAAGATAACAAGTACACCTTGCTGAACGAGTGCCAAATGGCACAAAGCCTAGATCCAGGGTTTCCTGTTAACTACCTCCAACTAACACCTTATCTCAAAATAATGTACATAATGTCCAAGTCACTTAAACTGGTGACCACCTTGCAACTTAATCGATAGGATTCGATTTGTACTAAGAAGGATCTGGCATACATAACATTGATCACAACTCAATGATCAATCAGTTGTAGTGACCTGACTATTATAATATCGCATCGTCAATGAGATATTGACTATTTACTAACTATTAATAAGTAACAGTTCATGACATTCTACTTTATAATGTGTGTCTGATGAAATCTCAGCACGATTCGAGAATCTCGTTTGGCTTTTGCCAACTTACGTCACATATAGATAAGATGAGTTGTCCGTCTATCAATTCAGGGATGAGTATACTGCACGGCAGTTCGTTATGTTCTAATTTATGGCTGGGAGACGTGTTCATTAAGAGTAGAAGATTTTCATAAGCTACTAGTATTTAATAACAGATGTCTTAGAAATACTGCTCGCATCTGCTGGGATCACCGAGTAAGTAATAGTGAGGTTAGATACAGGGTATTGAGATGGTGGAAAAGATTTGTAGCTCAGGTGGATGATTTTGGTGGAGTTTTGTTCGCTGTGCTGGATGTTTTGGTCGTGGGGCTTTCATCGTTCTTCTGAACGACATCATCAGCACAAATTTCAAATAGAAGTAAAGTGTTTGAATTTCTTCACATGTGTTTCAAAGCTTGTTCGGTGAACCTCGATGTTGATTGGATCTTATTGACCTTAAATTCGTCATTGTTCACTTCTTTGTTTTGGTTCTGTGTCCCATCGTTCTGAAGAACGATGAAAGCTCCACAACCAAACCAGCCAGTTCAGAGAACAAAACTTTACCAATACAGGGTATTAGGGAATAATGGTAAATCAATTAATGAGGTTGTCAATCTTCATCGACTGAAATGGCTGGGCCACGTGTTACGTGTGCCTAAACACCGATTACAACGACGCGCAATGCTAAATGGTGTTGGAGACGGTTGACAGAAAGTTAGGTGCGGCCAAACCAAAACGTGGCATCAGTCATTGAAGTCACTAAATTCTAGTTTGATCCATGTTGGTAGATGCAGACTACTTGGTTGGTGTCTGCATGACTATCATAACCAATGGTTGGAGACTGTGTGTGACATGACACAGAATCGATCACAATGGTGTAGGTGTATACTCTCTATGTCATCCCTTAAACTAAGAGATTAAAATCGCTTCACATCTTTCTTTCTACGAACTAATTCTTTGTTTCTGTACTATATGCTTATATGCAATCTTTTTTTTATATATTACCATCGTTGAATTAACTACTTTTATGAATCCGATGTTTATCTTGTTGTGTTACTGAAGTATGGCAACTTGAACCGATGCATATATGTGCCTTGTCCTACATTGTACCTGACTGACTAACTAATTTTATACTGTTTGCTTAGTTATAGTTAAACTATTGACACACACAACTTACACACACGCACACATTGAAATAATTGGACATTATTCATAAAACTTATATTTTAATTTTAAATAATATTTTGTTTTTTTCAGCCTTTAGGCAAGTATTTTTTAAAGAGAGAGAGAGAAAGGGAGAGATGGGGAAAAGGGAGAAAATAGTTTTCTTATATATATACATGTATATTGTCAGTTTATTTAGCCTTAATTTTCTTTATTGCCTTAAGTCTTATTACCATAATGTAATTTACTGTTTCAATACAAATAGATACCGAAGAAATAAACGAAAGGTACAAAAAATTTTTTCTTAGTAATTATGTAATATATGTAATATTTGTAAATGTAATTCATTCGTTAATGTTAGATACAACTAACAAAAATTAAGTTTTCTATTCAATTTCCTTGAATCGCATTCCCTCTCCTTCCCCCCCTCTCTCTCTCTCTCTATATATATATATATATATATATATATATATATATATATAACCAATCTGTTATGACGTAATCATTATGTTTATGATATATTACTTTAATAGAGTGCCTATTTATTGTCAGTCATTCAATTATGGGCAGTAATTTATATGAAATTAAAATAGACAAGTCTTAGATTAAATTGGACATTCTAATGTTGTTGTTTTTTCTAAACAAAATATTACTTACTTAATCCTGTTACTAACTCCGCCTGTAGCTCTTCGAGAGTTACTGCCAGTCCCAAGCCCGGGTAAAGGAGGAGGGTTGGGCATAGGGTTAGCGACTCCATCCCGTAGAAAACTAACTCGCTAAAAAAAACGCTTACCAGAAAAAATAATTCAAAACATTTAAACTCTGCCCTGGGAGTTAGAAGTTCTTCATTTAAAAGAACTATGACGCATCATGGTGAAAGCCGAGGAAAACTGGAAAGGTATCAAAGAAGCATTGACTTCAACGTGTCAAGTGGTTCTGGGCCTCAAGAAAGAAGGACACATCGTCAGGATTCCAAAGAAAGGAGATCTGAGCAAATGTGAAAACTATAGAGGCATTACACTGCTGTCAATACCAGGGAAGGTCTTCAACAGAGTGTTGCTGAACCGGATGAAAGATGCAGTAGACGCCCAACTTCGAGATCAACAAGCTGGATTCCGTAAGGATCGATCATGCACAGACCAAATTGCAACACTACGGATCATCGTCGAACAATCAGTTGAGTGGAACTCATCACTATACATCAACTTCATTGATTATGAAAAGGCATATGACAGTGTAGATAGGAGAAAGTTATGGAAATTTCTTCGACACTACGGAGTTCCTGAGAAGATTGTCAACATTATCCGGAACTCATACGACGGACTACAGTGCAAGGTCGTGCATGGAGGACAGCTGACAGATGCATTCTAATTAAGGACCGGAGTCAGACAAGGCTGCCTACTCTCTTCCTTCCTCTTTCTTCTGGTGGTCAACTCGATTATAAAGATCTCAACATCTGAGGGAAGACACAGAATTCAATGGACAGCTCAGAATCAATTAGACGATTTGGACTTCGCAGATGACCTAGCAATCCTATCGCATACACATGAACAAAACAAATGAAGACAACTCGTGTAGCAGCAGTCTCTGTATCCGTAGACATCAACATACACAAGTGAAAAACCAACGTCCTAAAATACAACACGGAAAATACCAATCCAACCACACTTGATGGCTAGAATCTGGAATATGTATAATCCTTCACATTCCTGAGAAGCATCATCGATGAACAAGAAGGTTCAGCTGCAGACGTAAAGGTGAAGATCGGCAAAGCAAGAGCCACATTCCTACAATTGAACAAACAACATATCAAACTCAAAACAATTTCCAACCAATATCAAAGTCAGTATCTACAATTTGAACGTCAAGAAAGTTCTACTGTACGAAGCTGAAACTTGGAGAACTACGACAACCATCATCAAGAAGGTACAAGTATTTATAAATAGTTGTCTTCGCACGATACTCAACTTCTATTGGTCGGATATGATCAGTAACAGCCTCCTGTTGGAGGGAACAAACCAGCTTACAGCTGAAGAGGAAATTTGGAATAGACGATGTAAATGGATTGGACATATATTACGCAAATCATGAAACTACATCATGACTCAAGCCCTGACTTGGAATGGTGAAGGAAAGTGGAAAAGATGAATGAAAAACTGCACATTATGTGGAGCAATAGAATCGGATATGAAAAGGATGAATGACAGATGGGAAAAGCTGAAAAGGATTGTCCAGTACGGGGTTTTAATGAAGAATGCTGGTGAGTGACCTATGCTTCTTCACGAGGACTAACAGGAGTAAGTAAGTAAGTGTATATAACCATTTATATATACATGTACTTTTTGATAATGGTTGTTGTAGTTCTCTAAGTTTCAACTGCGTACAGTAAAACTGTCTTGACATTCATATTGAGGATTTTTACTCTGATATTGATTGACGGTTGTTTGAGTTCTATATGTTTTTCAACTGTAAGAATACTGTAATTGCTTTGCCAATCCTTACCTTTAAGTCTGCATCTGATATTTCTTGTTCATGGATGCTGCATCTGAGGTACGTACAACATTCCACCTAGTCCACAGTTTCTCCATCAAATGTGATTTGGCTGATGATCTTGTTTTTTTTCCTTATATAAATTAAGGCCTACTGATGGCATCCGGCCAATGGATATTGAGTATCTTGTATGAAACAACTATTGATAAATCTTTGTACCTTCTTCATGGATGATTTTACTAGTTCTCTAAATTCTTAAATACAATAATCTACCCAAATTTTGTTTTTTTCTTTTCTTCTGATTTATCACTTTTCACTTTCTCATTTGTTTGTTTGTTTTTCTTTCGCTGTTTTTTTCTTCATTTTTATCTTCTTCTGTTCTCTTCAATGAAATAGATTCATTTATTTGCAAATCATATTTTAACTAAAAAGTATCATCATGATAATGATGAAAATGTTAATCATTTACGACAAGTAATCGGTATATTACAACATCATGATGCTGTAATTGGTACTGCTAAACAACATGTAACAAATGATTATGCATGGCATTTATATAATGCAACAAAATCATGTTAATTATTAATCAATAATTCCTATAAGAATCTATTGCTAATCAATCAATTCAATATCAATAATCAATTTAATTTAATATTTTGTAATTTATTAAATATTAGTTTATGTAATGCAATGGAATATTATGAATTACATAATCATCATATCATTGATGATGATGATGCTTCGGATGATGATGATGATGATGATGGTATATAATCCATTAGGTTGGATGCAATCTAATATATGGATACGTCTCTCTGTATATATTCCAATGAATGATAATAATAATATTGATAATAATTCATTAAATACATATCATATTATATTAAAAGATCTTCATAATACCTTATCAATTGAAATTAATTAATCAAAGAACTATTCGAATTCCTGAACGTCAATCTTCAATGCATCGTTTCAATTAAAATGTTTGAATAATAATAATTTTTTCCTGGTTAGCGTTTTTTTAGCGAGCTAGTTTTCTACGGGATGGGGATGCTAACCCCATGCCCAACCCTCCTCCTTTATCCGGGCTTGGGACCGGCAGTAGCCCCCGGAGTGACTCCAGGCGGAGTTCATCGTTTCAATTATGAAGTATTATTCAATCTTAAAAATATATTGCCAGTTGGGAGAGACAAACATTGAATAAGTTACGAATACATGTATCACATGTAAATTGTTATTATTGTTTTCATTTTAAAACATACACTAAGTTAGTGTCCGTTTTTTTTTCTTTTTTCTTTTGTTCGCAATTAGTGATCATATGACAATAACAAAGTTGATAGACAATAGATCTTTAAAAAAAAGACGAAATATACGAAGTTACTTTCATGGTCTGTTTGCAGTCCGTTTAACATTATGTTGGTAAAAGTTTATAGAATAATTAAGATACATAAGTGTTTTCATGTGTTTTTTTAAGTAGTGTATGGCCCTTTATTTTGTCGTCATTTACATAGGACGATATTGTCGAAATGGCTCTTCACTTTAGTGGCCCAAGTTCTGACTCCAATGAGATCGTATGAATGTTTTTTATCACCTATTCGCGTATATAATGGTCAGCTTTAATCGCATTAGTCAATAACGGAATTAAATAAGTCAAATAACGAGAATGGACGTTTGAATATTTTGTATGTAAAGCAAATGGATTAGAGAGACGCGAAGACAAACGACGCGTAGAGGAGAAAGCGGGTAAGCCAACTTCCATTTAACCAAGCGTTAATCAATATTTACAGTCAGATAAAAGTAAGTTACAGTTATGTGATGAATGGGATAAGAAATGTAAACATATATATGCTCTCATATAAAAATAGTCAATATTGATATGCTAATAATTAACAAGATCAAAATATGACTCAAGTAGAATGAATAGAATTGGCTGTCTGAAAGCTAGAAAAAGATATATAGGCTTAACATATTGGGTTGAATTACTTAAGAGATTCATTAAGATGTCCAATTGGATGCCGACTCGGTAGTACTGTAGGTTAAGTGTTCGCTCGCGAGACTGATAGGTCCTGGGTTCGAATCTTATAAGCGGCATCATGGATGCGCACTGTTCAGGAGCCCTACAATAGGACAAAATGGCTGTTCAGTGCTTCCAAGTTTTCAGTGGTGATCTAACATCATTTGGTTCACGATTTCAATTAAAACTTAATAATCATAATAACCGCTATACTGATCATTAGAAAATATGTTTTTTCATTCTGTTACCTGAACTAAAACATCTTTCGTATATATATTGGCGATTAAAATATTGACTGTTGTAGCAAATACACGACTTATCATAAGAGAAAATGTATGAAGATTAACGGATACATTACTGCTAATATAAAGAATTCTTCAAGAGATTTCATAATGAAATAGATTTGATTACTTTCTGCTTACTAGAACTATTTCAATTATATTGTGGAAGTTAAAATGACTTGGAACAATACAACGAGTTATACTCTATGGAATTCATTTTGTTTTCCCTTGTTCCTTTGTTCGCAAAGAAATTTGATTATGATGTACCATTAGTTGCTAAGTCACCTAGTAATTTTGGACAATATGGCATTTTGACAATTGGAAGTAATAAATACTTCCAATGTAACATTAAACTAAACTCAACGGCTTCAAATGTCAAAGTAGAAGGTTAATCTAACTTGTTAATCTCACTGAAGTTTAAAAACGATCACACAATCAATAAATGTGATATAGTGGCTCTGTGCTCATGATGATTTTGATGTAGTTTTGTTTTTTGAGCTGGATGGTTTGACCGTAGAGCTTTCATCGTTCTTCTGATCGACATCATCCACACAAAATTCAGATAGAAGTGAAGTGTTCGAATTTCTCCGTATGCATTTCACAGTTTGTTGTGTACACCTCGACGTTGATTGGTTTTTATTGACCTTATCGAGTTAATAAATGATCAACGCTTGTTTGTCACCACCGACTTGTCAATAGCTAGAGATTTTCTTAGTACATGAGATCATACTAACATCAGTGATTATATTGTTAACTAGACCTTTCAGTCAATTTTGTATCGTGGAAACATTTGTTGGCAAGGAGTAGAAAAAAGACAGCCAAAATAGTAACAAGGGAAATGATCATACCAACAAACAAGTCTCTGTTCATGAACATTAATCGTCAAGGAGATACGATAACAAAAGTTCTGAAAATTACTTACAAGATCACTCAGAAAAAAACACACTCTATTTGGCTCGACATCGTATTATTGTTTCGAATCAGCATATGTTTCGTAGATTTATGAAGGATGAACTCTTACTTTGGATCAAATGAATGTGCATTTATCAGTTTACTTGCTCATGAAGAGCAGGTTGTATTAGGGAATGGTTTTAAAACTCATCTCCGAACATTATTCAAATTGGCTCTACAAAGAATTACGCAAGTCAATCAAATACCTAGGATTTGAAGATACTTTGGAATATGCGCATTAAAACTTGTAAATACCCAGTAGTTTAGTTTTCTACTATATCTGTTAATGAACGTACATGTGAGTTATTAATATACATTTTCAGGTGAAATGTAAGTGATATTTGTACACAATTGTTAACATTATTTAACATCACTTCCAATTGAGTAAGATTATTGTTCCTTTGTAAGGTATATTATTTCATGGTTCTTTCAGTTTGCGGCTATAGTTGAATATTTAAAACTATTCAACTTTGAGGTGTTTACATTATTGTCGAATTTGTGTGGATTTAACGAATGATGATTGACAACTAATAACATGGTAATAGTTGGATTCATTATTCATTGTAAACCTGGAAGTAATGGATGTTTGTTTCATCCTAGTATAGGACTCCTCAGCAATGCGCATCCACAATCCCGCACGTGGGACTCGAACACAGGACTAACGGTATCTATCTCAGATAATGTATGAATTCAGACATTAACGCCGTTAAATGAAGATTCAGTTGTCTACAGATTATAAGTTCTTGCGAGAAACCGAAGGTCATATATTCGAATCCCGTGTGATTGATTTACATTGTTGAGAAGTTCCATAGCAGGACAAAATGGCAATCTATTAATTCCAGGTTATCAGTGGTTGTCTATCTTAAATCAACTCATGAATTCAACCATTAAAATTACTACAATCTGCACAAATTCTCATTCAAATAATGACTCTTAACAATAATCAATTAACCTCAACATTGGGAAACATATATATCTTATTTTAACATTCCATAGTTCATATTTCATTTATTCTAATATCATCACAATATACAATACTGACTGATCGTGTAGTTGGTCGCATAACTTTGTTTATACCTACTTCAAATACACATAATGGATATAGTTTTGTACTCATATGTAATTCATAGTTTATTCATATTTCATAACTGTCAATCATTTAATTCACTTGGTATTGTTTTACTTGAATCTTCCCATTGATGCTTTAGGACTGAAATTAATCAGTCTCGTATTGGCATATGTGCATACTGTGCGTATGCCTCTTTATTGCCTAAATTTACGAGCATTATAGACAAAGATGGACAGTGGCTAGAAGTGAAACCAGGACTCGCGTTTTGTCCTGTTTGTGACTTGTCAGCTGGATGTACCTGCATCTCAGAGTTGATGTTCACTCTGGGACTCGAACTCAGTACCATTCGCCTCAAACGCCATAGCGTTATCCACTTAGCTGCTGAGTCCTGATAGCCACTTGCTTGTGCAATGGGGTGAATTTTAATTCACTTGCTATTGATGTTCACTCTGGGACTCGAACTCAGTACAGTTCGCTTGAAGCGAACGAAATTGCGCGACCATCTTACATCGTACTGAGGTAGACACCTGTTTCTACCCGACACGGATTAACTTAACTGGTCACGGCTTCTCACCAGAACTCCAAGAATTTTCTCACAAAGCTGGTCACTAGTGAGCTTAAAATGAATTCGATTGAATATATACTCCTGAAATTCATATGGTTTTCTATTTACCACCTTATGTAATTTTATTATCTAACCAATAACATTTTTACTTTTATTCTAGTATAATTTGGATATTACTGAATTTAATACTTTATGTAAAGAATAACCATTGAAACTAGGGTAGTATTGGATATATATATGTTTCATCCCAATATGGTACTTCTCAACATAACACATTCACAACCCCATCAAAGGATCAAACACAAGACCTTTATATCTTTCTAAGAGTTTCTAACTATTAGAACTTTGAATTTTCATCTAATGGTATAACTGTAATTAGTTAGTGATATTCAACTTGTAATAGCTTAGGTTGATTGGTTAAGAGTTGATCTCAAACAACTAAGCATATATCAAAACAATAGAGTACACGTTTTCATTCACTTACTTATTTTGTGTAGGCGTTAAATTTCCTATTATCTTTCATTGGAAGTTGAGAGGCTTTGTTTGTCTGAACAGGTATTCCAATGCTTCACTGTACGAAGATCTGAATAAAGACCTATTGAATACTAGTCTGGTTCCTCCTATCAATAGCATGAGAGTTACCTACAGGCACTTATCTCTGATACAGTTGAAATCCACTGGTAACGGCTCCTGAATAAA